CCAGCGCGGGGAGGGCCGGGGCGGCCGGCAGCGGGGAGGGAGGCAGAGCCCGCGGGGACGGGCTTGGAGCAGCTCCACATCCCGGAGCCTGCGCTGGAGGAGGGGAGCGCCCGGAGAGCGACAGAGCGAGCGCCACGGCCACGCTCGCTGGGAGACTCATCCTGGTGCTCGCTGAGGGTTCGCCTGCCTTTTCAGTAATTAAAAGTTGGTAACTAATTGCCAGCTGCCCTGCCCACGCTGCAGAGCTGTGCTTTCCCCTGGTGTGGGAGTCCTCTCGCAGCGGGGCAGGGAGCCAAATCCGCTCAAACACGCTTGCGCTGGGCGCGATACGGGTGCTGAGCCTGCGTGGATTTCTTTCTTACGCTTCCTGGTAAGCTGCATTACTGTAGTCTGTCGTTTCATTATCCTACCCTGTAACCACATGGAGAACATGTTTGGAGAGAAGTACTGCAGAGAGGGGCTGGGCTCACCTCTGTATGCAGCAATTCTAATCTCAACCTTTCTCCTACTTGCTTCTTTCCTGGTTAGATAGTAAGAGAGAAGGCATTCGGGCGAGTTCTCGCCTATGCAGACGCGAGCATGGGAGCGTGCACCTTCCTCACTGCCTCCGCTGAGCCCTCTGTGTCCCACCCACGTCCCTTCGGCTGTGTGGAAATCAAAGCGCACACGCGGCATTACTGTGTTTTCTGGGTCAGGCAAAATGCTTCGGCCGCACTCAGTAGGATAACAGACGTTAAAACCAGCATATGGATTTTGGCTTCAGCCACATATGGATGTAAACGCCGTCTCCGGGCTAGTGCATCATCTCAGTGCTGGTGCAGAGCTGGAGTCCCGGGAGTCCCCGTCCACACGTACCTGCGTCTCCTGCACCGAAGGACCTTCCCTGCTGTCCCGGTAACTCCTCTCACTGTAGGTGACAGGTATGCTGGGGTGTCCCACTATAAAACCTTGGCATTGAGGAGTTGGCATACTTGCTGCCTGCTTACGGTTTAAAAAGCAGCGAGAGGGACAGAAGTGCCCCCATTGCCTGAAAACTGTCCTTTTCGAGAGGCTTTTAGCTGAGCTGAAGCCAGCGGTGCCGGGGGCAAAGCGTAAGCCTCGTGGAGAGGAGTTGCCTCCATTTCCGTATCTGGAATGATTGTGTCCTGCTAATATGCATTGTTTGGCCGTTTTAAAAATACTTCCTTTTTTTGTTATTATCAGGACAAAGGTACTTTTTTTTTTTTTCCCATTTTACTTTTCTATAAGAGGACAGGAGCTACCCTAGTCATTGTGTTGGCTTAGGCTGAATTAAAGGCCTGGCTGAACAGGGTTTAAAGTTATTCCTGGCTAATTTTTGAGATAAAAGCCCAGCAGAACCATTGAAGCGCATGAGGTCAAGTTCTGATTGCAGTTGTCCTGGAGAACCTGAGAGAGAAATAAAGAGCCCGTATTCAGAACTTCATGAGTCTGATCCTCTGCCGCTCTGCTAAGTGTAAGGTTTGCTTTTAAATTCGGTGCCTGCCAGCAGTGAGTCACAAAGAGCATCCACGCAGGCTCTGTGGAGGGCTGTGTAGCTGCTATTTTCAGAAGCGTGTATGTGATTTAGATCTTCAATAGTGAAACTTAACTTTAGAAAATAGACAGGCTATACATGGTTTTGCGGATTGCACTTATTTTGTCTCTTTTTTTTATGCTTGTAGTATGTGCTGGCCGGGGCTGGGGGACAGGTTCTGTGTCCTGTTACTGTGCAGTGCTATGCTACTGGCTTAAAATCTCATGAAACAGTACCTTCTGTGAAGATCAGCTGTCGTTTTTCTGCTGTACTGCTCAGTAACTGATCCCCGTCAGATCTGTGTGGTTTATATTTTCCATTAATAGTAGTTGGCATTTTTGTGTACTGTGCTGACTGATGCAGCATCTCTTCCCTCCCCTGGTGATGAACGTACCAAATTTCCAACGCTGAGTGGGCATTAGCAGAAGAGGAGAAGGTACACTGTTCCTTCGCATTTGGCCTGAGGAGTTCCCCTGTGATGCGGGTATTGTTGCTCTTAGCCAGCTCTTCTAGGTCAGGGCTCTTGGTGTGGGGTGTGTTGCTCAGAAGCTAATTAGTACTTGTGCTTTTTCTTTTCTTCTGACCATGTAAAAGTTCCCCCTCTCTCTGTGGTTTATGTGCTCATTCTGGGAATGCACTGGGATTTTGTGTAGGCCTACTTGGGCCTGTGTGCCCGAAGCTTCTCTTTTCCCCAGCTACTGTCAGTTGGTTTAGTAAGAGGTACTATCTCTTCCTACGCACTTTTATCTTTGAAATACTTCAGTACGTCTGTGGTTTTATCTTCCTGCATAAGAGCAGAGTTTTCTGCATGGGATTTCTGTCTTTGTGCAAGGATGTGGGGTATTTTCCACCTTTCTCAAGCCAGGGGCCAGCAGGCAGTTGCTGTGCAGGAGCGCTGCTGTGCGTGTAGATGCGCCCTTTCCTTAGGGCTGCTTGGGAATAGATATTAAAAACACCAGAGCCCCACTCTCCGGGTGGCTTCCTGACCGTGGTCTCATGTCCTCTCGCCTGGCAATCAGAGGGAACTGCACCCGTTTCCCTCCCTTTGCACCTTCCCACCAGTCTGCGGTCAGCCCTAATCCTCTGCAAATATTTCGTAAGGCAGGTGGAGTGGGGCTGATGTTGGGAACTGAGTACTCACCCTGTCGCGCTAAACTGATGTTGAAGTGCAACAAGGATCTCCCTTGGACTGAAACAGAAGAGAGGAGTGAACAGAGAGTGCCGGGTTATGTTGCTGCGCCTCCAACAAATACCTGTCTGGGGCCTCGGACAGCCTGCTTCACGGTCCACACGTGCTCTGCACCCATGAGTCGTTTGTTGGTGTCCTTACAGAGGTTCTTTCTTGCCAGTGTTGGCACACACGTACCGTCAGTGTCCTGTGGTTAGCTCAGGAAGTCATCAGGGTGGAAGTGCTGGGAAGGGTCCGACTTCCACATTACAGATGTGAGTCGTAGTCATAGTTCGCTGCTCTTGGATCTTAGATTTTTAAGCTCTCTTGGGGAGGTTAGAGCAAAGGAGGAAGAATGCAGGAAGAAGAATTCATTTTCTGTCTTTAGAGTGGCAGAAATACCTTTTTTCAGAGAGAAAGCCTTCCAGCTTTTCCTGAGGAATTCTAGGCTTTACGCTTACCCCTACAGTTGAAGGGACTCACACCTGATGTGGTTAATCATTTCAGTTTGGAGGCTCATCAGTTTTCCTTCAGAAGACAGAAAGCGATTGGCCAAAGTAACCCTTTAGGTTTTCATGGCCAACTCTTGCCCTTTCCCTTTCTGCCTGAATTTGAAAGGTGTAACTATATCTGAGCACGTTTTACACTAGCGTAACTGGTAATAAATAACCTGAGCTATGGACATGGGAGTGACCTGGTTAGTGTAGGTTATATGTGTCTTTGTTCTCCTTACATTTCTTTTTCTTCCCTCTGTCTTTAGACTTTAAAGAGGAAGGAAAAAGAATATGAACATGAGATGGAGCGGCTGGCAAGAGAGAAGATTGCTACCCAGCAGCGACTGGCAGAATTGAAGAACGAGTTGAGCCAGTGGATGGATATCTTGGAGATTGACAGAATTATTCGACAGACAGTTCAGCCAGAGGATGACCAGGCATCTACCTCGACAGCATCAGGTACCCGTAATTTTTCTCTTCTTGTAATCATCACCATACGTCACTGACACAGCTATATAGTGGTGGTGGAGATCTTCATTTAGCACCATCAAGGTTTCTTTGCGTTCAGAATAAAGTAAAAGGTTTTCAAGTGGTTTGTAGTCATTGATGTTGGCCTAATAATACACTGCCGCTTGTGTAAAGTAAACTGAAAATCGTGCATCAACATTAGGTAGATACAAAGCTGAAGTTTGCACGCTCAATCTGCTGATACCTCACGTGGAGCTCCCTGCTTTCAAAACTGAGTGCTCCTCTTGTATAACTGTGCCTCCTTGCTCACTAGAACTGAGTGGCACATGAGCGTCCTCGTGTATTTGTGTGTGGAGGTGGGGGAGGGTGTTCAGCCACGTAGAGAAGAAGGAATTGGTACGGGAAGGATCACCAGAGCATTTGAACAACTTAATGAGCCTTCACGTTGTGTGAAAAGGATTCACAGTGAAGATTAAATGATCTAACGAATATCTGGCGTGCTGTTCCCAGTAAATAGTTTTTGTGGGGTAGGAGGGTGCATGCTTTGCTCCATACCAGTGATCTGCAGGAGGAAGAATAGGCAGTCGGTGGATGCACAGTGCTTTGCTTTCCAGAAATGAGGAGGCTGTAGCAGTCTGTAACCGTTTGCAGCATTTCCTTCAAATCGTGACAGCATTTGCTCTTGGCACCCCAGGCAGACAATACAGCGAGTTCCAGGAAGGGAAAACCTGAGTTTTCTGGTTCATTCAGGCTTGTATCGGGCTCACCACCTTTGAACACGCTCACAGACAGCGAGTGTAGGCTGATGGAAGTTGAGAGTAGGAGTGCTTTGTCAATAGGAGTATCAGCCGCTCACCTCTCCAGCTGCCCTCTGCTGAAAACCATCGCTTCAAGCTACTACTAACCACAGAGCTTGCAAAAGGGAAGTGTCTTCCCTGGTTTTCCTGCTGCTTCTCTATCTTCTGAGATTTTTAATCTCTGCTGCATGGCTGCCTTTAGAGCAGGCGGTGCAAGGTGCCCTGCTCTTCTGCTGGATCTCCGCAGGGTCAGCACGTTCCTGCATTGCTTCGTTAGTTCCTGGACTGGACGAGAGTCCATTTTCCAGAACCAGATGAGGAACTTGCCATGCTTCTCCGTGGCTGTTTCCTTCCTGCTCTGGGAGCAGAAGGGGTGGTGCGGATCGGTGGAACAACTGGACAGGAAAGGACACCCTGTTCCTCTTCCCAGAAGGAGAGCTCTTCAGCCCAGACGGAGTTCAACGCGGGTGCTCTCCGTCTGCCTCTGCTGGCGTTGCTTCCCTCGCCGGCCAAGCGAGACCCCTCAGCCCGGTGTGAGCACCCTGCTCTAGCTGGGGCTTTGACCTGGTCCCGCCTGCCTGGCCCGCAAGCAGGGAAGAGACCCACTGCGAGGGGTGTGAGCCCCATCAGTGGAGCCTGCCGTGCCATGCTGTGCCGTGCCGTGCTGTGCCGGGCAGTGCCATGCTGCCTGCCCGTAGCTCAGTGACTCCTCCTGCTGTTCTCTCTTCCTCCTTTGCTGCCTTGTAGGGAGGCTGCTTAGTCCAGTTCGTGCTCTGCTTTCTTTTTTATGGGAGTTTCTTCCTTTCGTTTTTTCCAGAGGGTGAAGACAATATGGATGAAGACATGGAAGATGACAGGCCAGTGAACTCATTACCAAAACTAACCCAGCGCCAGCACCCAGAGCTCCTGAAAGCCGTCCCTTCAAACGCTGCTTCCCACCACCCGGCGGTTCTGCCTCAGCACCTGTCCATCCAGCAGAAACAAACCCCAGCCCACGCACAGCCTCCCATCCAGACACAAGCACTGGTCCAGCCGCAGGCGATCGTCCCTGCACAGACTCACATCGTGGCGGCTGCGCCAGTGGAAACGACCGTTATTTCGCCCACGCTTCGGTCATCCAGACTGTCAACCACGTGATTCAGGGTCCACAGACCAAGCACATTGCTCACATTGCACCTTCCACGTCCAGCCCTGTGCAACTTACCACTGCTGCTCAGCCTATCGGCCACATCACTGTGCACCCCGCCACCATCAACCACATGGCCCACCTCGGCCAGCAGCTGCCCATCTACCCTCAGCCCGTGGCCGTCAGCCAGCCCGTGGTGAGCCATATTGCTCACACCATCTCGCACCAGCAAGTGAATGGAACCACAAACCTTGGCCAGCAAGCGGTGATGGCCAAGCCTGCTGTAGGAACCCAAGTTGTCCATCACCCGCAGTTAGTTGGGCAAACGGTCCTAAATCCGGTGACTATGGTAACCATGCCATCATTCCCAGTGAGCACACTGAAGCTGGCCTAGAGGGGATCGTCCGACGGCGAGGTCTTCGTTGGGAACCTTTCCTAAACTCCATACATTCCAACCACGTCCGACTCTGCGGGAGGGAAGTGCAGAACGCGCCGAGTGGCAGGATGCCGGGCTGGGCTGTCCTCAGCCGCCCAGTGACCACCCTGCCGCGGGCAGCGAGAGACGGGGCCTCTCTGCACTTGAATTTTGCTAATCCAAGAAAACTTCACAGACAGTTGTTCATGGTGATTTTTTTTCCTTTTATGTGTAATCAGTGAAATATGGATATGATGTTCTTAAGACTTTTAATTTTCCCCTTTTATGTGTTGCTTCTTTGTAGAATAAAAATTGCTGATCTCTTTATTGAGACATTGCGTAGAATGGGAAAAAAAATCATAGAAGTCTATATTTATATATATGTGTGTATGTGTGTGTATATATATGTATATACATATATATATAAATATAACATTTGAAGAAGGCCTTTTGTAAGGTTGATTATTTTGCAGGATTATTAGACAAAATTCATTTTTGGAGGAAGAAGACAGAGTGTCCTCTCTAAACAAGAAACTTTAAGATAGATGGTTTGGTGGACCAGGGTACATATACAGTGACAAAAAAAAAAAAAAAGAGTTAAACCATGTTAAAGGTATTTCCCATCAATATATTACATTTCAAAAAAAACATCTAAAATCACTGTGACTTGTTATGGCATTTTAAGGAAATTCTCTGTCCTGTCTAATAAAAGGAAAAAGAATACACAACCGGACTTCATTTGTTGCAGTTTTATAAATGACTTGATTTTTATAGCTATGTCAAAAAAATAATGTTTTTTATTATTTTAATGGTTGACAATGTTTTGTTTGGATGGTTTTTGGGGGGTTTTGTTTCTCGTTTTGGCTTGGTTTTGCTGATGCAATAATTGATTTTGCAGATCTCTGTGCATGGCACTCCCCCTTCCAGGATTCCTCCTGCCACTCCCAAGCCCCCACGTTTCTTGGGTTCACGTTTGGTTTGCAGGGGCAGGTATTTTGTGCTGGCAACTTGCAATATGTTTATCTGGCCTGATAGAGCAGAACCTGGGACAAGAAGACCGACAGAAATTAAGTAGATTTGCTGCATGGGTTGCTTTCCTTCGTTAGTTTGTTCCTGAACTGACCATGTTTTAGTGTGGGAGTCAGTGGATTAGAAAATGGATAAATGTGCATGCGGTATCTTCCAAAATGCAAGCAGTTTTGACATCGTTTTTTCTTTGGTGGGGGAAGAAAAGATCTAGTCTTGTGTAGGGTAAGGGTATATACTGCAGGAGATCAGAATGTATAACTTGTGTCTTACAGATGACAGTGAGACGTGCACCAAAGAACAACCCCGCATCCGAAAGGACCCTCTTGTTCACCCTTCCCGGTGGTTAGGGCAGATCTCACTGAAGCCAAACTCCCCCCGAGTCAGGAGAGGAGGGATATAGATTGGCTCTGCGGGTACTCGCCCGCCAGACTGGGAGGTTGCTTAGGACATGTTTCATTGCTGACTGGGTATTCTGGTCCTTGCACCGTTGTGTGTGTAGTACTGATTAGTGATCTCTTTTCCGTCTTCCTCTCTTTTTAAAAACAAATACTCCTCAGTCCTTAATGCAGGCGAAGTTCCTGCTGTAGCCAGCGGACGGTTTCCTGGGGGCAGGATGGGAGGAAGGTCCCCACTCGCGTCTGTCCGGGTACGTGTGGGCAGTGACGCCCGTTGGGAGGAGGAGGTGAGGTGGTGCTGAGCGGTCACCCCCTCGCTGTGCTGGCTGGCTGCATCTGGCTTTGGGTCGAGATCGTCCGCAGGAAAGCACGATCCATAGTCTGCCCAAAATGCCTGGGGACTCCAGCAGGACTTTTGCCTGGTTGTGGAGTGCTGTGAACAGTGGCAGAGGTTCAGTTAAGAAAACTTGCCAGTTCTGCACTGTCCGTGCTATGGTTGAAACTGTGCTGGAGACGGGAGCAACTACTGCAAACAGAGATGAAGCGTGATTGTGCCTTCTGAGCAGACTTGGCTGAGAATTGCATTAAATCTGTTTGTAAAGCCCTGGGTTGCTCCAGAGTTAACACTTGCTGCTTTTTTTTTTTTTTTTTTCCTTACATCCGTGAGTCCATGAAGCTCATGCCCGTGTTGCTAGCACAGTTCCTACGCCAGAGTGGACAAATCTTTTAAGGATTCCTTATCCTTAAACTGCATTTAAACAGATTGTTCTCACTTCTAGTGCACCATTGGCACTGCGGGGTTAGCAGAATCGCCAGGGCTTTATCGTCTCCTTGTATGTGCAAGGGCTTTCCCAAGGACCTTGTGTCTTGTGTGCCAGTATTGTGGAGAACAGCGTTAGATAACAGGACAGTGGCTCCTCATCAGAAACTCTTGAAGACTGCCTATTTGCAACAGGGTCATCTCCCTCCTTAGGAGGAACTGCATGGCTTTGCCTTCTGTAGCTGTGTTAGGAGGGGGAGGAAGCTTCTTTCTGCCTTTTTTTTTACTGTTCCAACTCATAAAATAACAAAATCGAGGCAGGAAGCCTCATTTCTAGTCAAGAGTGGCTGAGCTTCCTGGAGGAGAGAAAGCCCCGGCTGGGAAGCGGGGCTGAGCACGGGGACTGGCCGAGAGCCCCTCTGCCCCCCGGCATTGTTCCCTGCGTGCTGGCTCGGCGGGAGCTGCGGGATTGGCCTGCGCAGGTTCGTCCTGCTCTGCTTACCTGCAGTTTTGCATGACGGCATACTTTCTGCATGGAAAACTCTGCTCCCATCTTAACCCCGTCGGCTTCTCATCCCGAGGCAGAGGCTGGTAACTGGCCCTGACCCAGGCGTGCAGCCGCTCTGCGTTTGCCGCAGTAAAAAGCATATGGGATGGAGAGAAGAGTTCCCATTTTACTTGACGCAGGCGAATGAGCCTTCTAGGGGATTATTCAATGGCCTTTACTGTAAGGAGAAGTGATGCTGCTGACCTCATCTTTTACTCCCTTACGGTTTAAAGGTAACAGTGTCACTACCCTGCTCACGTACAAGTCCGCATCTGTGCCCGTTTTTCTCTCCCCCCTGGAGTTCTGCAGTGCCGGTGTGTCTGAACCCCTTCACTGGTGTTCCCCTCCGCTTGAAGAACAGCTTGTCCTGCTCGGCCAGCCCATCAGCTGGTCCGGGTGTCTTGGGTCCCCCCGTTCTCATCTGCCTTTTCCACGGCTACCAGAAATGTTTCTTTGGGGTTTTCCTGTTTGTTTATAAAAGTCAGCAAACTTCTTTCTGTTCTGTGGGGAAAAGAGCAAACCACAGCCATTCTTTCCCCATGTCT